AGTATTCAGCATTCTCATTACTATTCGCGTCAAATCTTCTCCTTGGGAGATCTCTGGAAAGCCTCGTATCCTTAGATTGCATCTCCTATCCCTATTGTCCTGGTCTTCCAATTTATATAACAGATTTCTTTGTTCTTTTCTTATTTCCATCGCCCGTTTTTCTAATTTCTGTATGATTTGGGCATGTTTATCTAGTTTTTTCTTCTGTCTCCCCCACCCTTGATAATATTTGCCCCAGGTCTTTGTGTAATTTTGCCAATTCCTGTTTTAGGGATCTTTCAAGTCCTTTAAACATTTCTGCTTTAGTAGGCATCTGGGAGCTCTCCTCTTGTTCTTCTACTTTATCCATATCCACTTCTTCCATATGTTGACCACTGTTAGCTATTCCCAGGGATAGTCTGTATCAGAATCCCCCTAAACAACTACTCTTTTACAAAAGGTTTATTGACGATGTTATCATTATCTGGGATGGACTGGAATCTGATTTATTGTCTTTTCTAAATCAGTTAAATAGTAATGATAAATGCATCAAGCTCTCGTGGGAAATAAGTGGCACTTCCATTAATTACTTGGATTTGTGCATCTCGGTGAGGGATAATAATCTTCATACTAAAACTTTCTTCAAAAAAGTAGATCGGAATGGTTACATTCCACTAGATAGATAGTTGCCATTTTCCTCCTTGGCTGATGAATATCCCGAAAGGACAGCTGGTCAGACTTAGAAGGAATTGCACAGATATCAAGGAATATTATGAGCAAGCCAACATTATGGAAGAGAGATTTTGTAGCAAAGGTTATTCTAGAGAAATGATTAAAAATAAGATCGCAGAAGTGGGAACAATGATGAGGAGTGATTTCCTTGTAGATAAACCCAAGACAGAAGACTTGGGGGACCATACGGCAATTATTCTGGACTTTACCAGCAATTACAAACAGATAGAAAGTGTATTTAGACGTTATTGGCCGATTCTAATAACTGACCCCATTCTTTCAAAATTGTTACCGGCTACACCCAAATTTATATATAGGAAGGCTCCTTCCCTTAGGTCCAAATTGGTTCGTAGTGTATTGGACCCCCCTACTAAAAGTTCTAAGGCTACGTTTCTTGATCAAAAAGGGTTTTTCCCGTGTAAGATCTGTTATGCCTGCAGAGCCACTAGGGGCTCGAACACTAGATTGAGTTCCTTTGCAGCTACTAGTAATGGTAGGTCTTTCCAAGTTAAGGACTTTATATCTTGTAGAACGGAGGGGGGTCATATATGTTCTCCAATGCGGATGTGGCTTGCAATATGTGGGAAGGACAAAAAGACCCTTATGGGTTCGGTTGAGAGAACATGTCCAGAATATAAAAAAGGGTTTCCCGAAACATTGTTTATCCAATCATTTTCGGCTACACCATAATCAAGACCCTTCTGGTCTTAAATTCTGGGGAGTTGAAAAATACAAGAAACATTGGAGAGGGTCCCACAAAGTGAGATCTTTAAGTCAGATAGAATCTAAATATATTTTTCTCATGGATACATTTGCTCCGATGGGACTCAATATTGAGTTCGACTTGAACTGTTTTATCAGTGACCAATAATATTTCCTATGTTGATATATTGTGTGCTATAGTACTTGATGCAAAGAGTTCATGCAGGATTACAAAGGAGCGTTTTTCTTCTATTGATTAATTAATTTAGTAATTAATTAATATATATTTTTTTATATTTTATATTTTATCATTTACATATTTTAGTTCATACAATTTTTGTATGATATTTTATAGGGCAAGCTACAGTTGTGTCCAAAATTATTCAACCCCCACTGAAATTGAGTGTTTTGGCCAGTTTGACATTGCTTTTGATCATTCAGTCATCTTGCTTACATTTACATTAAAGAGGCACTTGTAGGTCAGACAAATATAACATAACAGTTATAATGAAATAACCACAAATGTCTTTTCTGTGCTCACAGCATTATCAGTTTTATTCAACCCCCAAGTGACATTCAATCTTAGTACTTAGTACAGCATCCTTTTACAGTTATAACAGCTTTTAAACGTGAAGCATAGCTTGACACAAGTGTCTTGCAGCGATCTACGGGTATCTTCGCCCATTCTTCATGGGCAAAGGCCTCCAGTTCAGTCACATTCTTAGGCTTGCGCACTGCAACTGCTTTCTTTAAGTCCCACCAGAGGTTCTCAATCGGATTTAAGTCTGGTGACTGCGATGGCCACTCCAAAATGTTCCAGCCTTTCCTCTGCAACCATGCTCTAGTGGACTTGGAGGTATGCTTGGGATCATTGTCCTGTTGAAAGGTCCAACGTCTCCCAAGCCTCAGGTGTGTGACGGACTGCATCACGTTTCCATCCAATATCTCCTGGTACTGAAGAGAATTCATGGTACCTTGCACACGCTGAAGCTTCCCTGTACCTGCAGAAGCAAAACAGCCCCAAAGCATGATTGACCCTCCACCATGCTTCACAGTAGGCAAGGTGTTCTTTTCATCATAGGCCTTGTTCTTCCTCCTCCAAACATAGCGTTGATCCATGGGCCCAAACAGTTCTAATTTTGTTTCATCAGTCCACAGAACACTATCCCACAACTTTTGTGGTTTGTCCACATGGCTTTTGGCATACTGCAGTCGACTCTTCTTATTCTTTGGAGACAGCAAGGGGGTACGCCTGGGAGTTCTGGCACGGAGGCCTTCATTACGCAGTGTGCGTCTTATTGTCTGGGCTGAAACTTCTGTACCCACATCTGACAAATCTTTTCTCAGTTCCTCAGCAGTCACACGGGGACTTCTCTCCACTCTACGCTTCAGGTAGCGCACAGCAGTCGAAGTCAGCATCTTCTTTCTGCCACGACCAGGTAGCGTTTCAACAGTGCCCTTTGCCTTGAATTTGCGAATGATGCTTCCTAAGGTGTCTCTTGGTATGTTTAACATCTTTGCAATCTTCTTATAGCCATTGCCCTTCCTGTGAAGAGAAATCACCTCTTCTCTTGTCTTCCTGGACCATTCTCTTGCCTTCACCATGTTTGTAACCACACCAGTAAATGTCTAGAAGGAGCTGAGTATCACAGTCATTTTAAAGCTGCCTAATTGGTGCTTATTATGCTTGATTGCTGCTCGGTGACATCCACAGGTGTTTTCAATACCTGATGGAAAGCACCTGTATGAACCTCTGTTCTTCAGAGTGGTAGTCTTTAAGGGGTTGAATAATTGTGGCAATGAAGAAACCACATAAGAACCATTTACTACTGTATTACATAAACAATTGATGTCATTTTAGTTGCATTTGGGTAGTTACAACGTCCTTGTAGGATTTGATTCTGAATACAATTCCAAATGTACACTATAGTCCCTAAACCCCTTTACAGCATTGGGGGTTGAATAATTTTGGACACAACTGTATATATTACTATATGGATATGCTCGTTTTATCTTTTTTATCCATCATTAAAGCATGTGGTTTTCCACATCTATATATATTTTTTTATATGAGTCTCTCTATGATTAATGCGGTTATTATAAAGAGTTATTGACTTGTGGTGCTTGTTTATTTTAGTTTATTACCTCACTGGGATTGCTAGACCTAATGGGAGAAGGTCTGTCCTCATTGGACTACATTAATATGGCTGTACAGGTTTCTCTGCACACTGGACCATTAGAATATGGCCGCGATCGCACCGCCCACTGTGGTCTTGATGGGTGCATTTCCTAAGGAAGTGCTGCCGGCCAATCACGCTGTCCTGATGAAGTCACGAGTTACGTGATGCAACGCGTCGCCGGCAATAGCGTGGTGACGCACTTCCGGCGTGACGCCATCTTGGTGCACCTTTTTGATCCTGCTGTACACCCAGCATTGTATTGCCATCTCCATACAAGCTGTTTGCCATGTAAGTGGATTACCTTTTTCCTTGTTTGGATATTTGCTGCCTATTTACAAATAAAGCGGTAATACACTATGAGGACTGTGTTTATCTCCTCATTTATGAGCCTATGAGCGGTTGTAACATCGGAGGAGAGGGTTTTCCGTTTACCTACTGGTCTGGAGGAATTGTGTCCTTGTTCATGTGATACCAACCTATCAAAAGAGTCCCTGAATTGGAGGATTCCGAGGTGATCTACAGTACGCTTTGTGGCCCTGTAGGGTCATAGAGTGGAGGTGAGAGGCCATTGCAGCAAGACTGCCTGGGATCACGTTTTTGAAGTGTGCTGTGATTCACCTGCACCCCTGTAGATATATGAACTTTGGACACTTTACCCTGCACTTAACCACTATTATCAGCCTATTAAGGGCCACTGTTTTCTGCTTATCCCCAGGTGGTTTTGGATCATTTAAATACATATATATACATTCTGGTTATGTATTTTATTTAGGTATAGTTTTTTTTTTAGCGCTGCATCAACTTTTATATTTTATTCATATTGCCTTTGTTTGGTATGGGACAGATGCTGGCTGCTTCCTAGCTTAATTTACTGCTTACCATAAGAGCGCAGGAGGATATTTATGTGATTTAGTCTGGAACATTCCCCGCCGGTTTCACTCTCACCTCTTACACTTATTCCCTGTTGTCTCTCTGGAGTCTGTTTCTCCTGTGAGGATATATATTTTTTAATTAACCCTGTTTGGGAAGCCTTAGGCCCTCCTCCCTTTTGATACTTTGTTTTTCATGCTGTCAGGGACTTTTTCAATTTTCTGCAGTTCTGGTTTTGGGGGGGCTCTATTTTTGATTTGATATCAAAATGTGTTGTTTTCCATGGGTATCCCCCTCTCAGTTCTTTTCTTCCTTTTTCTCTCCCCCCACTCCCAGACTCATCTACCTGGGTCCTCTTCTTCTAACTCTTTATCTGTTTTACATTGTCGTCCTTCTGATTTTCCTCTAAGACCCCCTGGGTGAACCCCTCCTCAGTTTCAACATATAGTTCAATACATACAGTTCAGTTCCCATGCAATATATTAATCTCAGTACTTTTGCCGCTCTCACTCACCCTCTTGTCCCCAATACGGCTTTTTATGAAGAAAAGGGCTTCTCTGAAAAACATTTTCTGCACTCCGAACAGGTATACAATTTCTCCTCCGTGTAAGATTTCTGATGTGTGTGAAGACTGGGCTTCACTGAAAAGTATTTCCCGCACTCAGGGCAGATAAATGGCTTTTCACCTGTGTAAGATCTCTGATATATGTAAAGTCTAGACTTATCTGAGAAAACATTTCCTGCACTTAAAACAGGAATATAGCATCTTCCTCATGTGAGGTCTCTGATATATATGCAGGCTGGACTTCTGTGAAAAACATTTCCCGCACTCGAACAAAGGTATGGCTACTCCCTCTTGTATTATCACTGGTATATATAAAAATAGGACTTACATGAAAAAAATTTCCTGCACTCGAAACAGGAATACTTCTCCCCCATGTGAGATCTCTGGTTTTTATAGAGATTGAACTTCTCTAATAGACTTTCCTGCACTTTAGGACATCTCTTTTTTTACTCCAAGTGAGGGGCGAGGCGGCTCCAGGTACTCTCTTCTGGGGAACAGTGCACTTGACATTCCCTTCACACAATGAGTGGATTGCAGAGGGGGGGTCACCCAGGTCGTTTCAGCGTGTCTCCATCTGCCACGGTCCTGTGTGCAGGAGGAAGAGAGCCGGCGTCTCCCCTGCTCCAAGAAACACCAGCTGGTTCCTCTGCCTCCCAGAGCTCCCTTGCTGCAGATCACCTGATCGCCCGGCGTCCACTGAGCTCTGGGGAACACACAGAGCCGGGCCAAGAGCACAGGAAGACCTGCCGCGATGGTCGCCATTCCCAGAGGTCCTCGGTCCACGCACCCCACCAGGAAAACCCCCTCTCCCCGGCTAGTCTCTCCAGGGCTTCCCACACATCTCTCCCCTTCTCGGCAGTACATTGGAGGTGCTTGGGAGTCAGGAGCCCTCACATCGAGCTCCCGCACCAAGCCATGGTCAGGCTCCTTTCTGGGTGTGCTTCTCACCCAATATTCTTCTCTGTTAGAGGACCAGTTGAGCAACTGAGATCCGACTGTGGTACCAACTTTGTTGGAGCATGTAAAGAGTTGCAATTAGACAATTTCCTGGCCAACAATGGATGTACTTGGTTGCTTAACCCTTGACGTACTTCACACATGGGAGGATCCTGGGAACCAATGATTAGAGGTAGCACAAAGAATTCTTGATTCCATGTTGCAGAATCTTAAATTACTACTAACCCAATAGACTGTCTACCTTTCTTGCTGAAGTGTCTGCTATAGTGAATGCAAGACCTTTAGTGCCGGTATCTCCAGATCCTGATGCTCCAGTGATCCTTATTCCAGCTTTGCTTTTTACTCAAAAAATTGGAACTGCTGCAATAACTTCAAGTGAAATTTACTCCAAGAATATCTACAGGCATCAATGGAAACAGGTGCAACATCTAGCCAATCTGTTTTGGCATCACTGGAGGAAGGAGTATCTTCATCATCTTCAAGGTTGTCAAAAGTGGCAAACATCTAAGCCTAATATCAAGGATGGAGATCTCATTCTCCTAAAGGACAAGTAAGTTTGTCAGAATGAATGGCCTATGGGTCTTATTACTAAAGTTATGCCCAGTGATGATTACAAGGTAGAGGTCAAGGTAACCATGGGAGGATCAACACTAACTTTTTGTTTGACCAATTGCAGAGTTAGTACTCCTTTTGCCAGGTGACTGACTTATGAAACCACTCTGCCATGCTATTGGCATGGCAGGGAGTACATTGCTGCTAAACAGGGTTTTATTTACTTGGAACTTGTATTCTCTGAAGATGTCCCATGTTGGATTACTACCTGTTCTGCCATCCAGTTGAACTTATGTTTCTGTTTGCTTGTTGCATGTTTCTTGTTACAGATTCCAAGACATTCATCAGACTTGGACTTATCGAATATATATATATTGAAGTTATGAAATCTAAAGATTTCAGATGGGCAGTGTTGTGTTACACTATTTGATTTATTATTATTTCTCTGTGACTATCACTTGTTTATTATTGCTCTGTGTCTTTAAGCTGTGTCCTTCTGTCTAAGCTGAGCTCTTTCTCTCACTGTACTTGTGTATACCCCTCCCCCCTGCCTCTCTCTGTAGTCATTCCACTGTATCCTGTCTACCTGTATGCATCTTTCCATGAGGCTTACAACATTAACGTTTTTCTACATATGATTATCCTCCATTAAACGGAACATTCGAATGGTTTCCTCATCTGACTTCCTCAACATGTGAGTTTATTCATTGAGTTAAACTGTCTGATCTAATGCAAGAGATAGTTCAACACCATGTCCTTTAGCTGTATACATCGCTGGAGATAAAGTTTATGGTCTCGTAGTGGAGTCAGAAGAGTTGCTATCATGTTAATGGAAAGGATCCTCTATACCAGTGGTCTCCAAACTGCAGATCAGGAGCCAGATGTGGTCTCTTTCTTGCCTTTATCTGGCCATTGGCACTAATCCACCAACTGACACCAATGATGGAGAACCATTCCCCCTACTTACATCAACAGTGTAGTTCTTCTCATTGATATCAACAATAAGGCAATATTCCTTCCATTAAAATTAATGATGAGGGCATTGCTGTTGAGGCATTTTCTACTCCCATTGGCCACAGTCTGGCCCCCAAAAGCCTGAAAGACAGAAAACTGGCCCTTTGCTTATAACGTTTAGAAACCCCTGCTCTATATTCTTTTTGAAGCACTGTTCACTTCATTTTGTATGATTTATCCCCCAGTACTGGGATCACTTAATCACTGTTTGTGTTTGATCAGTAACATCCTGATCACTTGTTTGGTTTCACTGTTTTTTATGATTAGGCATTGATCCTAAATTTAGGATCGGGGTAGCTGTGTACACATTTATTGTAGTATATCACAAGTCTATTTATTATCACTATTTTACTTTGTTTTTTCACGTTTGGATCCCTGTAGGGATCAAGGCACTATTGAGAGATTAATCAGAGATCTCTTGCACTTTGGTTTATCACCTATTTGATTCCGAGAGGGATCAAGCTATTATTAAGTGATCACTCTAGAGACATTAATATTATAGTTTTTATTATTTTTGTATGTTATATTTATATATACATAATATTTATTCATTGTTTTTGAGCGCTACACCATTATTTTGTCATTTACTTATTTTCACTTTGGGTAATAAGTGTGGGTGTTAGCGGCCGCCATTTATTTTATTTATTCAATTAATATTTATTTTTTTGAGTTGCTGTACACTTCCTTAGCGCAGAAGGTATACACTATTTTGTTCCTTTGAACACAAAAAATCTGCCAATTGAAGGAATGAAAACATAATCAAAACACTAATAGTGCCGTGTGCACAATGAGTGCAGTGTAAAATACATAGGCAAAACATACAAAATAGAATTCAATTTTATACAGGGTTTACAAATTTCCTTTACAATCAGTTGCACCTGTTTTCTCTTAAATGGGACAGGTGGACTACCCACCGTCAGATGCTTCTACCCTAATCTGATTTTTCTCCTCTCTTTATATGTTCATCATATTACAGTCTATTAGATAAGTGCCTTTTGGCGATTCTCTGTTAACTCATATATCTGATGCATGGTTATGACAATCTTGCAGTTTTAAATACTCTCATTGTGCTTCTAAATTGTTTTCTATTTTTTTTTTTTTTAAGTTTTGCATTCGTGTTTCTGATGTATATTCTTTCTTGTACATTGTCAGAATACTTTGTACTGAATTTATATCTATTTTTCAATAAATAGTTTGTGAACAAAAAAAGAATTCAAAACATCACAAATAGCAACAAAAACACCACAAGATAATGACTGCGAATTGTTTCATAACTCCATTGTGACCTCCACTAGTAAACATCAACCAACAGCATTGCATTTCAGGAATCAGAAGATTTTTCAATTATAAGTGAAAGAAACTTCTAATTTATGAACACAGCAGGGAATAAAGTGTGTGTGTGTGCGCGTGGGTTGGGGGAGGGGGGTGGTTAAAAGAAGAACAATGCAAAACAAGCAAACAACTAAAGAAATAGTATAAAGTATAAAAGTATAGAAAAGTTAAAAAGTAAAGAACAAGGAGAAACCTCTGAGACCACAGGACAGTGAGAATAAAAATGTTCAGCCCATGCCTGTCAACAAGGGATTTACCTTCATCTTGGAAACACAATGCATTCTAATAGATCCAAGTTTTTCAAATAAAGATCATGTTTGTTTTGTAAAGAGAGCACTAAGTTTTCCATTGTGTTTATTTACTCCAACTTTGTAACCCACATGGACAGGGATGGGGTTGTGAGTTTTTCCCCTTTAGGGAAAGGTTTGAGCAGGTTTTGGCAGCATTAAAATGGCAAAAAATCAATCTACTGTAAGTATTCAGTGAGATACAGGAGTTATGACATAGGCAGAAAGAGGGATCATCTGGGAGTATAAAATCTGCAATTTTTAAAGTCTTTTTTACTCCTCCAAAATGCTGACCATCTTGAGCAGGGCCAGACTTCCATAAGGAAGGACAGTTTGTCGCCTTTGCAAGGGGTGGTCAGTAGGCTGTGTCTAATTGGTCCTGAATCAGTGCAGAGTGTTTGTATAGTGGCAGAAGACATAGAAAGGAGCAGGAAGGAAGGGTTCCCAAGAACTGTTAAGGCTAATATACAGGCACTTAATTGATACATTTTTATTTAGATGTCATGAGATAAAAGTTATAACAACTACTGTAATACTAGATGTATTTCTGATATACGGGTCCAATACCCTATCTTTACGGTGATCCAATTTTTTTATTTACATTTGTAATTATTTTTATGGTAACTTCAAATATGTTTCTTCCATATCAATATTTTTATGTTTCATATATATATATATATATATATATATATATATACACTGTATGTACATGCTCTTGTTGGCTTTTTATAACTAAGATACACTATGTTGCCAAAAGTATTGGGGCGCCTGCCTTTAGATGCACATGAACTTTAATGGCATCCCAGTCTTAGTCTGTATGAATTAATATTGAGTTGGCCCACCCTTTTGCAGCTAAAACAGCTTCAACTCTTCTGGGAAGGCCGTCCACAAGGTTTAGGAGGGTGTCTATGGAAAGGTTTGACCATTCTTCCAGAAGCGCCTTTGTGAGGACAGGCATTGATGTCGGAGGAGAAGGTCTGGCTTGCAGTCTCCGC